CGGGTGTCGTGTGGTACTACTAACATTTTAAAAAAATTTCAAAAGTTTTGAAAAATATAGAAATGTATGAAAATGTTCAAAAAGAGCACAAAACTAAACATTTTCGAAATTTTTTAAAATTTCCAAATTAATGTTTCTAATATCCAATTCACAGAATTCCTCCCCGAAAATCAGCAGTCACTTTTATTTAATTTTTTATAAGCAGAACTTATGTTTTAAGACAAAAATTGCAGTTTAGACAATAACAGGTGTTTTTCTCCACATCCTTTCAAAGGGCATCAAGCATAGCTGTCTTGCATCTAGTTCTTGCTTTTCGAGTCTCCATTATTCTTATAGTGATGTTCCTCCTCTCACCCCCAATCCCCAAGTGCCACAGCAAATTCTGTAACAGCTACCATGAAGCAAATTCATGCATTATGGATCAGCTGAATCTTACATCCTGAGTCCCATACAGCTTTAACTCCTGCCTCCTGACCTATGTGATAAGCAGTCACTCAGTAATTTTATGTCTGGTGTCAAAATGCTATTATGAGATTGGAATGAATATAAATATAAAATACCTATGTGAACAGCTGTTCTCCAAGAAAAGTACAGAAAAGATTTTGGTTTAAATGACAGGATGTTGAAGATCCATGTAGAACAACTATTACTAGAATTATAAACAGATGAAGACAAGCCAGTTACTGCAAAAAAGACCTTCTTAAAAATGCCAAGTTTTCACTGAAGAAAAACAAGATTACATTAGTGCTAGACTAGGACACATTTCTAACAAACCTTGAGACGCATTGTACAGGAAACCAGGGTTTCAAAATTATCAGACCAAACTGCCACAAAATTCCTGAAACCATTTAAGATATGAATTGCAACCATGTGACCCTATGAACAGAGTAAACTTTTGTAATTGGAAACTTCATATCCTACATAATGGTGAAATCACTCTCACATTTTATTTTCTGAGGGTTGGTTTCACTTACATGTTGAAGTACATTCACAGGACAGCAGATACTGGAGTTTGGACAATATGAGGTTGCAACACGTGCCAGAATTGGCATACATAATGGAATGAGAAATTGGACTTATAGCAATGGCATCCATGGACCCTTTAAGGAAAGTGTTTGGGTGAGAACTGTTAGCAGTAGTTTGTGGCCAGCATGGCTCCTTGATCTTAACCCATGTGATCTTTATTTATAATGAATCACAAAGCAGATCAAACCCTCACACAGTTGAAGAATGAAAAGAAATTTTCCAAAGACAAGTTTCCCCACCTCTCAGGAACTTCAACATGACAGAAATCCCAGAAATATGTGCAGAAATGAAAGCATTTCCAGCATCTGCTATAAACTGCAGTAAGTTTTGTTTTTAATGTGTTTAAGTTACAAATTTGTCTGTTTGCTAGCAGTCCAAATCCCTGTGGGCCATGTGATGGGAGAAGTGTCTGACTCTCTCACCTGCAATAATCAGCAATTACTGGGACACCTGAAAATAATCTAACTATAGAAACATTATTTCCTTCACTTGCATCTTTTAATGATTCAAGAAATTAACACGTATTAAAAGCAAGAAAAGAGAATGACTGTGAGATCAACTCTGAGAAGGTTTGTGGTTTATTTAACGATGCTGTCAACAGCTCAAATTAAATTGTGTCACATGACAAGGCAATTGATAAATAATGAATCTGAAAGGTTATTAACAAAGAAGGTTCAGCTACTTACTTTCATCTTTATGCTAGAAATGACAAACTCGATCATTCACTGTAGTGCACACACAACCCAGAGCATCAAATGACATCACAGACCTGTTACTGGTCAATCTCATGCTCCCAAAAGTTGCCTGTGATTCTTAGAATATAAATAGAAATTAGAGAAAATAATACCAGAAGTGACCAGTTAGCAGGTAAGTCCATTTGTTACTGGCATTAACAACACAAACCATTCTACCAACTAGGAATGACATGCACCACCCACCAAATCAAGAAATATCTCTCAATATGTCATTCCTGGTGATGTTTTCCCATGATGTTGAATAATATTAAGCTGTAGGTTTCTTTCCATTTCCTTTAACCTGCATCATAATGGAATGGAGAATTCAAATCCCTATATAACGAGGCTGCTGGAGAGACCGTAACTCCAGGGTTAACACTTTAGTGATTTGCTGCTGTAACACACAGTCAGCCGGAATGTGAGTAAGTATGATGCATGGTCAATACAAGGTTAAGGTTCGGCTCTGTAATCATACATTTCCCAGAAACTACTAGATCTAATTTCCTACAAGTCACCCATCAACCATCCAACAAACTTCGGAAAATTTCTCACTGATATTTTCAGTTTTAAGGCTGTATTTAATCGTTCTTCAATCATTAATTTTTGTTCTTGATTAGTGAAAACATTCTTAGATAAAGCTTTCACTTCTGTCATATACACATTAGTACAGATGTAGATAGAAAAAAAAATTATTTTGTAGACTTTGTGTACATTTGGTAATTTCCTTACATAATATGTTATTTAAAACATACATTTATGTAACAGGCACTGGTGTTTGCTGTGCCACTTATGGTAACTGCTGGTTCTGATACCCAAAAGCATAATGGCCAAGGAGAAAGGACTGCCCTTACAACAATTCATAGTATCAGTTCTTCACAGAACTTTATACTGATAAAGGAGCTCTTATAGTCTTCTCAATGTATTTACTCTGCATCAGAATCTTTAATTAATGTGAACGAGCTATTTCTGAAAAGAATTCCAAAATATTTTGGATGGAGAAATCTAGTGCTATCATTGAACCTGGATAGCAACGCTGTATTAATTCTTCAATATATTTATATTGCTGAATGAACTCTTCTTGCATTGCTCTCCATACCACCTGCAAAAAAACATATTACATACATCATACACTCAAGTCACAAAATAAAATGGTGTGAACTATACAATTCCATTTTACTTTGTCTCATTACAGTAGAATTTTCTTTGACAATGTACTCTAGTTCATGTAACTAATTCTTTAAATGAAGGTAAACGTCCCTCCTAATATGTATTCACGAATGTATGCTACATCATTAACACCATTCTGTTCAAATTCAGGTGGAATATTCCAAAAGTCAAAATGAAAAGAACTAAAAACAAAACACTGCCTTGTTTAGACCACAAGTGTCCAGCACAACCTCTCTTGTAACAGTCCACTGCTTCAAATATAACCTTATAACTATACAGTATGTCATCACACTAAAGCCCTCCACCCTTGTAGAAAATAACTGAACACACAAACCTGAAGAAGGTTTTCCTGTTCACACAAATGTTTTTCAACTTTGCGGTATAAGTTGTCTAGGCCTTTCTTGACCTCTCTGGCAGGGTATTCTCGGATCACTTTCCGCAACTCTTGCTTGCTGTAAGCCATCTGATAACTTATTTCAGATTCTTTAACACCCTGTGCTACTTTGGCTTGAACTCCTTCAAAAAACAGCTATAAATAACCATAGAATTTATTCAGAAACACTTGTACTATCATGATTTAAAATTACATAATCCTATGAATATTTTATCTAATTTATTATGAACAAAATTTTTTCACTAGTTTGACTTTAAACTTATATTTATGTTTATTTCTGACATGATTCAATTTGAAGTTCAAAGTCTGCACAAACACGTCTTCTAATACTGCCTGTTTGTACACATGAAAAAATTCCACTCCAGCACAACAGACTTTTGTGGAATTTAATCTTACAGGTAGCCCTCGATGTGTTCCTGGACGAACTGGCGTAATCGGAATCAGTGTAAACTGGAATGATTTTATAATGTAAATCAATGGGAAGTCAATGACATGCATTCCCAGCACCCAAACATTGACAAGTAATGTAATGGCATTGCATTTAAAGCACTGAAATAATGTAAGTAAAATAAAGGGAATTTAAAAATATATTTTATACACTTAAAATCAGCAATTCGTTGGTCCCCGCAATTAACTGTGATTCTTTCATGTGATTGATGTGTACAGTCATCTCTGCTGTTATGCGATAGTTGCATTCATGTAAGACGCTGACCTATAGAAAATCGTGTAGTAAAAATAACCCCGAGACCTCCGCAGAGATTAAATTAGTCCTTTGAAATTTTAAAGTGCCAGGAATGAAATTATACAAGAGCAAACTCACATATGCAAAAGTTTGCATTTCACAAACAGCTTTTACCGATTCATCGATCTCATTGGAGCAAATTCGCGTTAACGAAACATACGTAATTGCAGAGATGACTGTATTTATAATTTTTATTGAAAATCAGTGATGTAAGAATTACGATTCAGTATAAGAAGCAGTACGAGAAACATTGTAAAACGTTATAAATAATAGTAAAATTTTTCTTCTTCACTTTTTGACTTTCTGATTTCAAAATCGGCGTTATTCTGAATCGGCGCAAATTGGACCAGTGCAAATCGAGGGCTACCTGTAGTCATTCTTTCTAAAGTTTACTTATAAAGCAAAAGTTTCATGAATATTGGACAATTTGACTATGCTATGTATTGTAACAAGACCTGAAGATTCACCACTACTAAAACCATAACCCAGCAACGGACAAAGTCCTAATCCAGCACCATCCACTTCCTATTCTGATGGCCTATCTTTGTACGAGCTATCTCAATGTTACCTTCCCATCTCCTTAGACTTCTAAGTGAACACTTCTCAAGAGACTTTCTCATAAAAATACCTGTATGCATTCCTAATCTCTCGCATTCCAGTTTACATCCCAACACTATTAGGTGACCTGTATAAATCACACAATTCCTTGTTTTGTACTAAACTGATTATTTATTTCACCCTTTTTCACCAAATATTTTCTCCTGAGCGCTATTTAATATTGTATCACATACATGGACTCTAAAATACATATTAATAGTGTATGATTAAATATAATATTTGGAGGTTGAAATACAATCCAAGTGCAAAATAAAACATTACACTGGACAATTTAACAATCACTTTATCAGAAACTTTGAGGATTTTCATAAAATTTTCCCAGATTATGATGACATTTAACACTCAGACTCCATTCATCTGAGAATATACCAATTATACATGACTTACATTTAGTTTCTCCAATGGTCTACCAAAGTACTGAGTCACATAAAATTTCAAAGCATCATTATATTTCTGCTTAGCATCCTTCCTCAATCCATCCAGAACTCCTACTTTCAGTTCTGACAGAAGGGCATAAAGATGATGAAAATTCTCTGCAATGAAAATAAAAGGCAGCAGTGGATGCAGTTGTCCATAGGGATGAAGTCCCAGTAGTCTACTGTAGGGTTACCATTGCCACAGTACTATAATGAACCCCCAACATGAAATCCGCTACAACTCTCCAGAAGGTATGAAGGGAATCCTCATTCTCCTTGTTGGCATGGTGGCAACAATGTAGACTTGTATTCTAGAAATACCCAGCTTGAACCTCAGCCACATTACTCGATATTATGACTCAGGCATTTCTTGGTTTTTATCATTCTCTCAAAGAGAAAGAATGCCAGGCTAACACCTTCAAACAGACCAAGACCATCTCCTACCAAATTCTCATCTGTTCACTATTAATGATCATCTCATCTCTTCTGATGCTACACAACCTCTGCAACTGAAGCAGCATGATTAACACAAGACTGTATTTAAATTACAATTATACTTCTGTTATCTGCAATGTAAAATACCAGTATATGGTTAGCAAGGACTCTACAGGTTAAACAATCTAAGTATCAAACAGTCATAATGCCACTTAATATGCCACATTGGTAACTCAGGGCACCACTTACAGAGGAAAGTTTCTAATTACCATAGTGACAGGACATACGGGATCAATATCATCGATATTGGGAAACTTTTGATCTAATTAGCACTATGGTAAAATAACCCATAGGTTACAATGTTGTAACAATGTATTATATAATGTAAATATAATGTTGAGCATCTGTTTACCTCAAACTTACATTCTTCTAGAAAAACAGTGAAAATAATAATGAAGAGCAGTACGGCAAAAGTCTTGAGTTTTGTATAGAATTCATTTCTGTGCCAGCAGCAGATTTAAAAATTCATTCTGCACAATTCCCAAGACTTTTCAAGCACTTAACAAGGATTTGGAAGTAAAATTGTTACAAAATATACATCATTATTATCCAAAAGCTCTCATTTGACCACAGAACAATTTTATGAATGAAAATTAAATTACCCATTTTTATAACTTCTTGTGGAGTTCTGTGGTGTTCAGCTGCATTACGTGGAATTGCTTCAAACATTGCTCCAACTAACTTTGTGTACCACTTATCCAAATCAGTACGACGGTCTGTGTTCTTGAATATAGCTTCAGCTGTTTTTGCAAAATCCTAAAATTAAAAAGTTCCAGATATACATCATAAAACATTACAGAACTGTTACAATATTTAAACACTTTAATTACTGCAGTAGATTTCTTACCAAAAGACTGGCTTTCACCAAGATTTTCCAATCTGAGAATGTAGCACAGAACGGACTACACGTGGAGCAGAGAGCCCTTCTTGAGAAGCTGATAGTCACTCAGCTGACATTTATGAAGCCTAAAGGTTCACTACCATGCCCACAAAAGCCCACAACTGGATTTCATCCTGAACCAGGTAAAATCAGTTATACCCTCACAACCAGTTTTCTTAAAACATCTAGCTTCTAAAATTGGCCTCTTCCTTTCATGATTTCTGACAAGAATGTTATATGCATTTATTATTTCCTTTCACATCTTATCCTCCTTAATTTCATCACCCTAATAATATATGAGCCGGCCGCAGTAGCCACATGGTCTGAGGTATGATCCTCGTGCGCCTGACTGCTGCGACAGTGGGTTTGAGTCCCACTCAAGGCATGGATGTTTGTCCGCTACCAACCTGCACTGGCCAGCATGGTAGTGTATGGCTAAAATCCCCAAATGGGAGACCTGTGTCCAGTAGTGGACATTGAGAAGTTGAAGGGGGGGTGGAATTATATATACATACATACATACACACACACACACACACATACAGGGTGAGTCATATGTATGTTTACAAACTGTGCGTGTTCCAGGATCAAAAATAAGAAAAGATGTTCTTATGAACATGGAGTCGCAAATGTTTCGTTTTTGAAATAATAGCAAAAAATAAATTTCAATTAATTGACTTTATATCAAAGTGAATCCAGCTTCCAGCAAAGATTTTCAATTAACTTTTGGGTAGAAAATGTTGGCGACATGCTTATTGGTCCACACATGCTTCCATCGCGGCTAAGATGACCTTCATATCGGTGATTCTTAAGAAGACACTTGCCACGTCTCCTTGAAGTTGTACCACTAAATACAAGAAGACATGTGGTTTATGCACGACAGAGCCCCAGCACTCTTCTCCCATCGTGTCAGATATCATCTCGATGAACAGTACCCTCAGCGATGGATTGGGCGGGGTGGCCCAGTAGCTTGGCCACGGAGGTCACCAGACCTGACTCCATTGGGCTTTTATCTGTGGAGTCACTTGAAGTCCGTTGTTTATGCAACACCCATAAACAATGAAGACAACCTATGGGAACATATGCAGAATGCATGTCAGATGATTCGAGGAAACCCTGGTGTGTATGAACGTCCGCCAGTCTTGTGTACGTCATGCTCGTGCATGTGTGGAGAATGGAGGAACAACCTTTGAGCATCTGTTATAAAGAAACATCCCTGTCCTTATACTTGGCAATAAAGGCATACATAGAAAATTATTTTTGGCTATTATTTCGAAAATGAAACATTTGCGACACCATGTTCATAGGATCATTTTATCTTATTTTTTATCCTGGAACATGCACATGAAGTTTGTAAACATACTTCTGACTCACCCTGTGTGTGTGTGTGTGTGTGTGTGTGTATATATATATATATATAATGAATGAAAAATAGAAATTATGAAGCTCCACATTATGCAATTTCCTCTATCCTCCCATTACTTCCTCTTTCTTACATCCTAATATTCTCTTTAGCACTCTATTTCACACATTCTCAATGAAAGCTCATCCCTCAGCATATGGTAAGAGACCAAGAATCATACCCATACAAAAACAAGTAAAATTATACTTGTATATGTTTTAATTTTTAAAATCTTTGATAGGAGGTGGGAAGATAAAAAATTCTGAACAGAATGGTAGGAACCATCACCTGAATTTCATCTCCTTTGAACACTAGGTATGTAAGTAATTGTAATTAATATGAATTGCTTTTACCTCAAAATTATCCACATATGAGAGAATGCCGCACTTGCTCTTACGATTAACTTTAGTTTCTTCAATAGACCTAACTTGTGCCTGCATGAAACGATCAAAGTTTCTCTTTACTTGCACCAAGGCTGATGCAAAGCTCATGCTAAGGAATGAGCCTGTATCCTGGGCTGACATTACATGCTGGCTTAATCGCACCAACACATACATGCAGTAACTGGAACACAAAAATTTCAAGAAAAGTTGCATTATAGCGCTTATAATCCATTTACTTGGTAAGACATAATATAAAGTCCAATCAATCTATTTTCAGAGTATAAAAATCCTCACCTACATGTCAAGTTTACCATAAATTATGAACACTACTCATTCTGATGAGCCGGCAAAGCTGTCAGTATAGTGACTGGCTACAGACTGGACGACCAGGGTTCGATCCCCAACAGGGGTAGAGGATTTTTCCTCTAGCCTCTGTGTCCAGACTGGTTCTCGGGCCCATCCAGCCTCCTATGCAATGGGTACCAGGGTCCTTTCTTGGGGGTAAAGCAGGGCTGGGGTGTGATGCTGACCACTCACCCCCATCTAGCGCTGAGGTCAAATGCCTATATGGCACACAGTGGGACAGCTTTACTTTTTACTTTACTCATTCTAAATAGTACCTAATTGCATGTGAAAATGAAATGCCATGAGTCTGCTCTAAACAAATAATCATAAAATAAGACTGATTTTGAATGTTTGGAAATAATTAATTTGAAATTTAGCATTCTAAAAGAAAATTATAACCAGTCATGGTCATCCATCACATTACTGTCATCCTTAGACTGTGGCCCATTCAACTAATCCATTACTGGGCCCAAGGGGTGATGATCATCAAATCCAAAAATCCAGACTATAAGAAAAATGTGGGATAATATGATTCCACTACTCCAAGCATGTGCAGGATGGTGTAAGGATAGGTGCTGCCAGGAAGGAGAACCCAATGTTTGTTTTCAGTTAGGACCAACTCTTTAGATGATGGGTTTCTGCTTCAATTAAATCTTCATGTAATTGATTTTCCATAAAACCCACATGAACTACCTTCATCCCATAATACAAATACAACAACTATACTCATAGAAAGCTGTTTTCTAAACCACTTCTTTCGCGGTGACATCTCATAGTGCCACAATGGTAAATCTATATATATCATTAACTGGGATAAGGAGTGATATGAAATCCTGACCTTAAACTGCATAGCACTTCAGCATTAATCAGACAAAAGTTTTATGCATGAAGCAGTATATTTTGTAAACAGTCAAATGTTATTTCACATTTATTACATTAACACATTAAAATGCATTTCAGCATAAAAGAAGTATAAGGGTCTGGGGGGAGAGGAGTGCATATACTTGCTTCATGGAGCCGAGTCCTTCCTGAGAAGTCAACAGTCGCTCAGTCACTCAAGAAATTCCCAACATTTTATTGAACCTGAAGGTTCATTACCATGCTCACAAGTCTTCCACTGGTCCCTATTCTGAGCCAGATGAATCCAGTCCACACCACCCCATCCTCTTTCTCTAAGATCCATTTTAATATTATCTTCCTACCTATATCTAGGTCTTCCAAGTGGTCTCTTTTCTTCTCGTTTGCCCACCAAAACCCAGTATGCATTCCTCTTCTCTCCCATGTGGGCTATATGCCCTGCCCAGTTCATCCTCTTTGATATGATCTAATTATATTTGGTGAGAACAACCTACAAAGCTCCTCATTATGCAACTTTCTCCAGCCTCCTAGTGATTCATCCCTCTTGAGTCCAAATATTCTCCTCAGCACCCTATTCTCAATATACCCTTAGTCTATATTCCTCTCTTAGTGTCAGAGACCAAGTTTCACACCCATACAAAAATACAGACAAAATTATAGTTTTGTATATTCGCAGCCACCCTCCATATTTTGAGGCCTATTCCTCCTCCATCCACAACCTGAGGACGTGCCATGGTGTGGTGACAACGGACCCACAATGTATAGGAGTAGTGCAAATATATATATGTGCGTGTGTGTGCATGCACTGAATATTAAACTCGTTCCACTCATACATCCTCATTTTTAATGTAGTATAACAAAACTAACCAAAGGCACTACGGAACAAACTTAAGCAGTCTGGTCAATTTACTTCATGCAGCTGTTCTAAACATAAGCAGTTGAAATTACTCACAAACTGTCCATCTTCTCATAATATGCAATAAAGCTGATTAACTCAGGTTCAAGACAGCAAAACAATTCTCCCATCATGCGACGAACCTCTTCATTAATCTGCTTTTCCATCTTCTTTAGAGGCAGAGCAGATGTAGATACAACATCTGTTTCATTTTTTGAATCTATTCCCAGCCCATCCAAAGTTGTCTGCGTGTTCTGAAACAATGGACATTCTCATTATTATACTCTCTTATGCTCCTTCTACATAATCAATAAAGGCACACAGTTTGACATATTATTTACTTAAAAATGAATAAAAACGTGCATTTCATAGTTTGATACATTTCAAACATTTTTTTAGTCCATAAATTCTCTGCCTTTTATAGAACCTTATGGTTCATTTCACAACAGTCCACCACTGGTCCCTATCCTCAGATAAATCCAGTCCACATCCACTAACATTATTTCCCTAAGGTCCATTTTAACAGTTTCAAAATTTCAACATTTTAGAAGCTTGATTCTGGATTTTATAACTTTATAATTCAACAATGGACAAAGCCTAAAAAGGACAATTTTACATATAATTGTAACAGTGTCTTCCTCTCTACACTAGGTTTTTCAAGTGATCTCTTTCCTTAAGGTTTTAACTAACTCCACCAAGCAAAGTCCTTCTAGAGAAATCTTAGATCCAGGCCAATGATTAAATCTTAGCATACGTATCTCACCATTTGTATGTTTGCTATGTGCCTCCCCACTTTCATTCTACTAGATTTGATAATCCTAAGTAAAAATTATGAAGCTCATCATTATGCAATTCTCTCCAGTCTCTTGTTACTTCCCCCCCTATTAGGCCCAAATACTTTCCTTAGTACTCTCTTCTTAACTGGGCAAACAGAAAAGAGAGATGCTAGCCCATGTGAAGGTACTATGGTTTAGAAGAAAGTAGATAAAAGGAAGAAGCGAAAGTGAAAGAAAGTGAAACATGGTCTGCTAAGACTGCATGCATCTACATGGTAAACATTCAGTGTGTGTTCACTCTTCAAGGTAATTGTCTGTGGAAGAAAAATAAGCCATTGTACAGATTTTATAATGGGAGTTGATTGGAAGGTAAGTGACATGATGTAATTACATTTTAACACATTCAGACTGGCTATGCGGGCCCAATCAAATTCCTATCCAGTGAGTACCAGGGGCCCTTCCACACATGTAAAGCAGTCAATGGATGAAGCTCACCACTTGCCACATCTAATGCCATAGTTAAGAATGCATGTAACTTTTACATTAATCTGTGCATTCATTTCAATGGTACGATGCACAAGGGACAACTTCACTTTTACTGTATGATATACAGTGAAACCTCGATGCATCGTTTTCGGCGGGGGTGGGAAATAAAAACGATGAATACGGGAAAACGATAGTTGCGGGAAAGCATTAAAATTTTTAAAACAAACAATGTTTCTCTTTCAAAGTTAGTTCTTTTTACCAAAAACGTCTTTAATGGACAACTGGTTTGTCGAAACTTTACGTTTTAGGCCAAAGAGAGCCCTTTCCACGTTCAAATTGTTTTCCTCGTCATGTTCACTAATATTATGCGCATAAAAGAACGACTTCACTTTTGCCAATGCAGCATGTGCTTCAGCAAAACTCGGCACAGCTTCGGGCTCGCATTCGTCGTCTTCCTCTTCCTCACCACTCCCACCCCCTTCGCCGACAATAACAGGAAGAATGGAAACACGAGGTGCGATCAGAAAGTTTCCAGACTCAAAATGTTTTCCTCGTCACGTTCACTAATATTATGCGCATAAAAGAACGACTTCACTTTTGCCAATGCAGCATGTGCTTCAGCAAAACTCGGCACAGCTTCGGGCTCGCATTCGTCGTCTTCCTCTTCCTCACCACTCCCACCCCCTTCGCCGACAATAACAGGAAGAATGGAAACACGAGGTGCGATCAGAAAGTTTCCAGACTGCGCCTATAAAAACCCGTACTCTTATCTCAGGTATTAAATTCATCCATCCCCCTCGAAGTAGTTCCCCTGGGAGTGAACACAACGATCCCAGCGCCGCTGCCAAGCCTGGAAGCATCCCTGGAAATCGTTCTTTGTCAGCCTGTCAAGCACCATCTGCGATTCTGCCTGAATCTCTTCTATCGTCTCAAATCTCCTTCCCTTTAGCTGAATTTTC